AGCCGGCTGGGGCTGGGTGTGCGAGAGACAAGGCACGATACGGACAATGGCAGACACACTGTCCCTTATTCACTGCCCCACCCACGTGCCTCCAACCTGCCCTGTCAGTGTGAGGGGGGTTATCTCCAATCCTTTGGTCTGGGGGGGAGTTTCATAGAGCACTAGAACTGGAAGGGACCTCGAGAGGTTATCGAGTCCAGTCCCCTGCCCTCATGGCAGGACCCAGCACTGTCTAGACCATCCCTGATAGACATTTATCTAACCTGCTCTTACATATCTCCTAGTGATGGGGATTCCACAACCTCCCTAGGCAATTGATTCCAGTGTTTAACCACCCTGACGGGCAGGAAGTTTTTTTTCCTAATGTCCAACCTAAACCTCCCTTGCTGCAGTTTAAGCCCATTGCTTCTTGTTCTATCCCCAGAGGCCAAGGAGAACAAATTTTCTCCCTCTTCCTTGTAACACCCTTTTAGATACCTGAAAACTGCTCTCCTGTCTCATCAGTCTTCTCCTTTCCAAACTAAACAAGCCCAATTCCTTCAGCCTTCCTTCATAGCTCACGTTCTCTAGACCTTTCATCATTCTTGTTGCTCTTCTCTGGACCTTCTCCAGTTTCTCCACATCTTTCTTGAAACGTGGTGACCAGAACTGGACACAGGACTCCAGCTGAGGCCTGCTCAGTGCAGAGCAGAATGAACATAAGAACGTAAGAACATAAGAACGGCCGTACTGGGTCAGACCAAAGGTCCTTCTAGCCCAGTAGCCTGTCTACCGACAGTGGCCAGCACCAGGTGCCCCAGAGAGGGTGGACCGAAGACAATGATCAAGCGATTTGTCTCCTGCCATCTCTCTCCAGCCTCTGACAAACAGAGGCCAAGGACACCATTTTATCCCCTGGCTAATAGCCTTTTATGGACCTAACCTCCATGAAATTATCCAGCTTCTCTTTAAACTCTATTATAGTCCTAGCCTTCACAGCCTCCTCTGGCAAGGAGTTCCACAGGTTGACTACATGCTGTGTGAAGAACTTTCTTTTATTAGTTTTAAACCTGCTCCCCATTAATTTCATTTGGTGTCCTCTAGTTCTTCTATTTAGGGAACTAATAAATACCTTTTCTTTATCTACCCTCTCTACACCAGTCATGATTTTATAGACCTCTATCATATCCCCCCTCAGTCTCCTCTTGGAAGAAGGACGTCTCGTGTCTTGCTCACAACCCTCCTGTTCATGCCTCCTGGAATCATATTTGCTTTTTTGGCAACAGTGTCCCACTTCTGACTCCTATTTAGCTCGTGATCCACTCTGACCCCTAGATCCCTTTCTGCCGTGCTCCTTCTTAGACCGTCGATTCCCATTCTGTTTGTGTAAAACTGAGTGTTCCTTCCTAAGTGGAGCACTTTGCATTTGTCCTTATTGAACTTCATCCTGTTTGCCTCAGGCCATTTCCCCAGTTTGTCCAGGTCATTTTGAATTATGACCCTCTCCTCCACAAGTCTGCATTTGTGCTGCACCCCGTTTTACTTTCCCGGGGCCAAGGGAACGCAGCTTCATGCTGGCTCCAGGGGTAGAAGTGAGTATTCCTGCTCCAACACACATGTTCCCTGCAGGAGAGTCATGCATCCATAGGCACCAGTAAGGGGACTATGGCACACAGCTCAGCAGTCCTGGTTCTATCCAGGAAAGGGCAGTGGCATGCAGTAACACACCCAGTGTTGTGTTTTATTGCTTGCCCACTAGTCCCAATTATTTACTTGTGGTGCCCGTAACACAAGAACTAGGGCTCACCGCATGAAACGAATCAGTAACAGGTTAAACACCAACCAGAGAAAGTATTTTTTCATGCAACATAGTTAACCTGTGGAACTCCTCGCCAGAGGATGTTGTGAAGGTCAGGATTTCAACAGGGTTCAAAAAAGAACTAGATACATTCATGGAGGTTAGGTCCATCAATGGCTATTAGCCATTAGCGGCACAGAGAGGGCAGTAAGAAACAGTCCCAGCTTGGGAGAGATTACTCTCTCTCTAGACCAAACAGGAGAAGAAGGCTGGTAGAAATGATGTGTCATTCTCTCCATTGTACAGATGGGGAACGGAGGCCCAGGGAGATCAAGTGACTTACTCAAAGTCACATAAGCAGTAGGACTTGAGCCCGGGTCTCCAGAGTCTCACTCTGAAGCCTAAACCCCGGCGCATTCTATGCTGCATCAGCCCTGTCTTTCAGGGGGCGAGGGGGGAAACTGAGGCACGGGGCTGGTTAAATGTGTTGTCCGGTGCTCATAAAGCATCAGCGTCAGACCCAGGGCCAGAACACATGCAGGGCCGGCTCGAGGCAGCGCCCCGGGCAGCGGGCATGCGACGCATGCGTGGCTCCGCCCCCGGGTGCTCGGTGCATGCATGGCCCCACCCCTCGGTGTGCTGCACACCTTACAGCTGCAATCGGGTGCACGGTGCCTGATTGCAGCTCTAAGGGGCACAGTGCGGCCTCGGGCGTGTGGCGCCCCTTACAGCTGCCATCAGGCCCCCCCCATAGGTTGGCACCCTGGGCAGGTGCCCGGCTAGCCCCCCCCTTAATCTGGCTCTGAACATACGGGCGCTGATTCTGTGGGAGTTGCTTGTGGGTGCACCAGCTGGAGGTTCGCGTCCAGGAGGCCCATATGTCACCTCTTGCTTTACCAATCTCCTCTCCCTCCACACAACATCCCAACCGGCCAAGACTGATTGAGCCTCTGTCAAGAGGACCTGGGGGGTTAAGCCTTTGGCATCTTCCAGGCGGTGTCTCCTGTAAGCTGGGCAGCCCCCGGGAGAGATTCTGAGGCCACCCAGCTGGTTAGCAGCGCGCCCTCAGCCAGCAACATGTGTTTCCCTTGGTGGTGCACATCTGTCCATGTGTTGGTGCATAGAACAAAATTTATTCCACACACAGGTGTGGGAACATTGCTGCTAGGCCGCCTTTGTCACTGGTTTTAATGCTAGAGGCCTCTCTAGCAATCGCCCTGCGGTCCCAGGCGGGGAAGGCAGAAATTCACCATTCTTTCCCCTTCTGGCACATGGTGGTAGAGGTTTCCACCGCCCGGTAGCTCTTGGGCTCTGGGTGCCAACAATCACTAAGAGCGGCCAACATTTCTGCACCTGGCACCGTACCCAGCCTGGTGTCCCGGTCACGGCCACCGGGGACACGTCTCTTTCCCAGCTACTGGAACCCGCAGACACATGTTTATTTCTTTCCCCTCCCTGCTAGCCCTGGCCCAGATGGGTCTTGGAGCATGGGCCGGGGGAGGCCTTGTCTTCGCTCGGGACAGTCCGGGCATGTGGGGAGCTCGGCGCGGGGGTGGCGGCGGGGCTTGGCAGCGCCAGCGTGTTGTCAGGTTTACTAGCCCCGGTTTTTAGAAATGTGTCTTCCCCACCCACACGCGTCTTGCACAGCCACAAAGCGTGCCAGCCCCGGGGGGCTCGGCTTTCATTCCTCGCCTTGCTCCTCCTCGCCCCGAGCTACGGAAAAACCCCTCCTGTGGCCCAAAGGTCACTACGTGTAAGGCCTGGAGCACTTTATGAACCAGCTATTGTTGGGTCTCCAGGGCCTGGCTTTAAAGGGCCAGGAGTGTTATTTCAGCAAACAAACTCCAGCACAAAGCGTGCCAGCCCCGGGGGGCTCGGCTTTCATTCCTCGCCTTGCTCCTCCTCGCCCCGAGCTACGGAAAAACCCCTCCTGTGGCCCAAAGGTCACTACGTGTAAGGCCTGGAGCACTTTATGAACCAGCTATTGTTGGGTCTCCAGGGCCTGGCTTTAAAGGGCCAGGAGTGTTATTTCAGCAAACAAACTCCAGTGTGCGACGCCGGGCATTAGCCATGCAGGGTCACGGCCAGGAAAATGTTACCTTTCCCTTCCAGTGCTGACTGCGGGGGAAATTCTCACATTTACAGCTTTAAAGGTTACGTGCTTGGAGGGGCTTTGGCTTGGGGTTTTCTTTTTTTTTTTTTTTTCTTTTCTTTTTTTAAATTTGATAAAATGGGGCCCGCTCCTCCCTCCCCGCAAGCCCCCTCGTCTCCTCGGCGTGAGCCGGGAGGTTGCGCCGTCTCGTCTGACCTTCACCTTGGCAAGCACGCTGCACTCGGCTGGGGCTTGATTTGATTTTGTTTTCTCGGGTCCTGGAGGCCCGGAGCGTGGCAGCGTGGGTGAGAGTTAATACAAAATAAACAAACAGCGTTTTTCCACCCTGGCGCTCTGCGATACGGGGCTGGGGGGGCGGTCGAGCGGAGGGCGGGGGGATGGAATGAAAGCGTGTGCTGTGGAGTTAGCCAACTGGGGATTACAGCCGGGGGGAGGGCTAGGGGTAGGGGGGAAAGCAAAGAACATTCCTTGCATTGCTGGGGACCTTGCACAACACACAGGTCCTGTAGCAGAAGGGGGAGCTGGGTCCGTCTCCTGCAGGGCTGACTTAAGTGCAGAATTGAAAAGAACGCACTCTGTAGACCCAGACTTTCCTTTCTCGCTCGCCGCTGTGTTATTGTAGGGCCTTCACGTGCTGCTTTGTGATGTAGGGTCGCTCGTGAGCACTGGGGCGTGGCATGCTGGTTGCAGCATCGCCTGTGTACTGTTTTATTATTGGAAGGTCTTTCAGGAGCTCGACACTTTACTGGGCTGTCTGCCTGCCTCTGCCACTGATCTACTCAGTGACCTCGGGGGAGTCATTTTTCCTCCCCTCTGCCCATCTTGCTTATAGACTTTCAGCGTTTTGGGGCAGGGATCTTGCATTGCTCAGCAGCTAGCATAATGGGAGACACCAGCGTAACCACCACTGAGTGGATTTGAACTTGGGAACCTCAGAACTATAAACCCAGCTGGCTCTCAGCTTTGGCTGTAGAACTCCCTTATACTTAGCTTTTGCTGTAAGCGGTTTAAGTACCACTAGGTGTGAGGGTCACATACATAGTCCTTGGCTAGTAGGGAAGGCTGGAAGAGCCCGGGCCCGTATTGATCTACGTGTGGTTTGTATTGCAGGTATTCTCCAAAATCTTCAGCCACGAAGCCCTGGAGAGCTACCTCCCGAAGATCCAGCTGGTGATCCAGGATACGCTCCGGATGTGGAGCAGCAATCCCGAACCCATCAATGTCTATTACGAGTCTCAGAAGCTCACCTTCCGCATGGCCATCCGCGTCCTGCTGGGCTTCTGCATCTCTGACGAGGAGCTCACCCGACTCTTCGAGGTCTACCAGCAGTTCGTGGAGAACGTCTTCTCGCTGCCCGTGGACCTGCCCTTCAGTGGCTACAGGAGGGTAAGAGGCTCCTCTGACTCCCCCTTATGGCCGTGAGATTGAGCGGTGGCCCCGAGTATAGTTTGGAAGGATGGTCTTGTGGATCTGGCACTGAGCTGGGATTCAGGAGACCTGGGGTGAATTTCTGGCCCTGCTACCGGCTTCCACTGTGACCTTGGGCAAGTCACTTAGCCGCTGGATGGCTCAGTTCCCCATCTGTAAATGGGGGATCATAGTCCGCTGTTTCCCAAGGGGGTAAAGAATAGATTCTATTAGTGATTGGGAGGCAGGTGGATAATGCAGTGATGAGGCCACACTCGGATGACAGAAGGTCGGAAAGAACCACAAATTCCTGGCCTTGAAGGAGAAAGCGTTTCAGCTCCCTGAGCAGCTTCCAATAGCTGTCCTTAAAAAAACAAATTGACCTTTCCCACAGATGTTTCCTCTTTCTGCTCCCTCCGCCCCTTCCCCCCAAATTCACCCTGATCTGCAGCAAGACCCAGCCCTGCACAAGCAGCTGGCTTGCTGGACTTAGTGATGTTGTGGCGTTGAAGTCTGATACCTCATTGGACTCCTGGTAACTCCGGCCTGCTTTCTAGGCAAGGCAGTTATATGCAATAGTACCAGGATTTTTGTAAGGCTCTCTAAAGCATTCCCCAAATAGCAAAGTTCTGTCTCATTCAGGGCACAGACCGTCTGGGAGATGGGCTAAGGGTTTGCTCAGCATAATCTCGTCTGCATTGGAGAATTTTACTGTGCGAAGAGCTGTTTGTTTTGCAAACGTGCTAGAAGGAGCAATCTGCACCCATGCACCCATGCTGTTTGAACTGGCTGCATGTGCCTAGGTCTTGTCAGCTGTAGGGTACCCCTCTACCAAACACCGGCCTTCTTCCTGCTCCTTGAGGGTAACCGGGTGGGTACAGGTTATAGATCGAATCTACTTGCCTGCACAAGCAAGGGCTGTCTTGAATTCATTCCTGTTGGAGACAGCACACTGGTCGCTGCTGTAAGAGTCAGTCCCAAAATACGCCTCTTGCTGTGTCACGCCGCAGTGTTGGCCTTTGGAAGTCACTGCTTCTAGGGGGGCCGGCCACAGATCCCCCATAGGGCTTTGCAGCTCCGATTGAGTGCGGAACAGGGACTTACCGGCAGTAGTGCCTGGACCAATTCTAGGGTTGCCAGGTGTCCAGTTTTTACCTGGACAGTCCGGTATTTGCGGCCTCTGTCCGGTTTAAAAAAACAGAAAATAGCGGACATGTTTTTTCTCGGACGGCAAGCTGGTGGGGACATTTTTCCCTTTCTGCGTCTGGTGGGGGAATGGGAGCACATGGATTTAAAGGCACAGTGACCGTTTTTTTTTTCTCAACCAATTTTGAGCTCACCTTCCGCATGGCCATCCGCGTCCTGCTGGGCTTCTGCATCTCTGACGAGGAGCTCACCCGACTCTTCGAGGTCTACCAGCAGTTCGTGGAGAACGTCTTCTCGCTGCCCGTGGACCTGCCCTTCAGTGGCTACAGGAGGGTAAGAGGCTCCTCTGACTCCCCCTTATGGCCGTGAGATTGAGCGGTGGCCCCGAGTATAGTTTGGAAGGATGGTCTTGTGGATCTGGCACTGAGCTGGGATTCAGGAGACCTGGGGTGAATTTCTGGCCCTGCTACCGGCTTCCACTGTGACCTTGGGCAAGTCACTTAGCCGCTGGATGGCTCAGTTCCCCATCTGTAAATGGGGGATCATAGTCCGCTGTTTCCCAAGGGGGTAAAGAATAGATTCTATTAGTGATTGGGAGGCAGGTGGATAATGCAGTGATGAGGCCACACTCGGATGACAGAAGGTCGGAAAGAACCACAAATTCCTGGCCTTGAAGGAGAAAGCGTTTCAGCTCCCTGAGCAGCTTCCAATAGCTGTCCTTAAAAAAACAAATTGACCTTTCCCACAGATGTTTCCTCTTTCTGCTCCCTCCGCCCCTTCCCCCCAAATTCACCCTGATCTGCAGCAAGACCCAGCCCTGCACAAGCAGCTGGCTTGCTGGACTTAGTGATGTTGTGGCGTTGAAGTCTGATACCTCATTGGACTCCTGGTAACTCCGGCCTGCTTTCTAGGCAAGGCAGTTATATGCAATAGTACCAGGATTTTTGTAAGGCTCTCTAAAGCATTCCCCAAATAGCAAAGTTCTGTCTCATTCAGGGCACAGACCGTCTGGGAGATGGGCTAAGGGTTTGCTCAGCATAATCTCGTCTGCATTGGAGAATTTTACTGTGCGAAGAGCTGTTTGTTTTGCAAACGTGCTAGAAGGAGCAATCTGCACCCATGCACCCATGCTGTTTGAACTGGCTGCATGTGCCTAGGTCTTGTCAGCTGTAGGGTACCCCTCTACCAAACACCGGCCTTCTTCCTGCTCCTTGAGGGTAACCGGGTGGGTACAGGTTATAGATCGAATCTACTTGCCTGCACAAGCAAGGGCTGTCTTGAATTCATTCCTGTTGGAGACAGCACACTGGTCGCTGCTGTAAGAGTCAGTCCCAAAATACGCCTCTTGCTGTGTCACGCCGCAGTGTTGGCCTTTGGAAGTCACTGCTTCTAGGGGGGCCGGCCACAGATCCCCCATAGGGCTTTGCAGCTCCGATTGAGTGCGGAACAGGGACTTACCGGCAGTAGTGCCTGGACCAATTCTAGGGTTGCCAGGTGTCCAGTTTTTACCTGGACAGTCCGGTATTTGCGGCCTCTGTCCGGTTTAAAAAAACAGAAAATAGCGGACATGTTTTTTCTCGGACGGCAAGCTGGTGGGGACATTTTTCCCTTTCTGCGTCTGGTGGGGGAATGGGAGCACATGGATTTAAAGGCACAGTGACCGTTTTTTTTTTCTCAACCAATTTTGTTCCTGCCATGTTCGGTATTTTTTTTTTTAAAGCATCTGGAGACCCTAACCAGGTCAGCCAGGTTAACGTGGGCACGAGGAGCCATTTGTGCCTGTGTTGGTTCAACTCCACTGGGCCAGTGTCTAGAAGTCGCTGACACTGCCCAGGTGCTGGAATCGACCCGTCGGAGTCCCACAGCCACTCCCGGATTTTTGCCAGGCAAAGTTTCCTGGTCCCTGGTCTCTGTTTCTCTCCTGGGAGCCCATCAAACCCTCTTTTTGTGTCCTCGGGGAGCTCTAGCATGGGGGAGCTGCTGCGCTGCCCGTCTGCTGAGCGGCTGTTTCATGGTGGGCTGGTTTGCAGGGAATCCGAGCACGGGAGACACTGCAGAAGGGGCTGGAGAAAGCCATCCGGGAGAAGCTGCAGAACACGCAGGGCAAGGACTACTCCGACGCCCTGGACATCCTGATCGAAAGCGGCAAGGAGCACGGCAAAGAGCTGACCATGCAGGAGCTGAAGGTGAGAGCAGGGCGGGGGGATCGGTCGGCGGGTTGCGTTCGGTTCCTCCTGTTGGCCAGTTTCCTCCTTCCCTTTCCCCGGTCCCCCACCGCCGTGTCTGTCTCACCCACTGCGGGAGATCGGCAGGCAACTTCTCACGGCCAGCACTAGCTGGGAGCAGCCGGAGCAGGCGGGCACAGAGCGAAACGCAGTGGCAGGGCTGGGTAGAGGCTGGATTAACAGAAGGGTGTTGGCAGGGCGGGCCGGAGGGGTGTCGGCAGGGCAGTGAAGGGAAGCCCCGGGCCTTATTGGCAAAGCCACATACCAGCAGTAGCTCAGCCCTCTCGTGGCCTCTGCGTGGATCAAACCCAGTGCCAGCAGACCAGACTTTCCCCCAAGAGCCACGTTTTTTGGGCCCCCCTATCCCTGGCTTTGGGGAAGGGCATTTCTGGGGAGCAGTAGTATTACAAAGCAGCGCCCTTGGTTTTCACGCATTGAATGAGCATGACTAGTCCTCCCAGAGCTGTTGGGACGTTGGTCGGGGTTCTGTTCCGCCATTGTGCAGGAAGGGAAACTGAGGCACGGAGGGGGTCGCGAGTCTGTGTCTGACCCAGGGACTAAGGCTTTATTGGTGCCCACACCTGTGTTTCGACTACTAGCCTCACCCTGCGCTTCGTTCCTGACTGCCCAAGGGCCGTAAGCTTGGCCATCGGCTTCTTGTAGGCTGTTGGCAACCCCACGGACGCCCTTCAGCTTGGCTGTTTATTTCTGTTGGATTGAACGTTGGCTCCAAACCGGCGAGTAGCCACAAATTGCCGGGGGGGGAGGAACATGTGGAGAGGAGGAAAGAAAATCCCCTGGGGACTCTTGGGGAGTCCTTTCTGCTGCCCATGCCACGTTAGCCGTTTGACCGGGGAACTTTCTGGCCGTGCAAGGCCTCAGCTGCTCCCTTTGGAGTGAAGTCTGCCCTTTTCCTGGGGGGCATGCTAAACCTGGGGGCGGGGGAGGAAAGAGCACCCCAGACACAGTGCTGGGCAGGAGAGCTTCCAAGCCACCAGCCCCCTGTCTGGGTAGGGAGTGTGGTTGTGCAGATCAGAAGCAGTTTAGTTGGGCGTAAAGCCGGAATTGCTCCAGGGAAGCCAAAGCGCTGACCCTCGGGTTGAGGAAACCAGCGTCAGGCACTGTTGTGTGGCTACGTCTACACTATGAGTTTTTGCGGCAGAAAATATGCTAATGAGGAACTCATTAGCATAAGCCACGATCCCATTTGCATATTTTCTGCCGATCCGTGTTTGCGCTAGGGGGTTTTTGTGCAAAAACGAGCACTGTGGATGTTTTCTTTTTGCGCAAAACCCCCTTTTCCCGCAGGATCCTTATGCCCCCAGAAAGGAGGCCTACCGATCTTGCGGGAAAAAGGGTTTTTGTGCAAAAAGGAAACGTCCACACCGCTCGTTTTTGCGCTAAAACCCCCAGCGCAAACACGGAGCGGCAGAAAATATGCAGATGAGATCACGACGTATGCTAATGAGGTCCTCGTTTGCATATTTTCTGCCGCGAAAACGCGTAGTGTAGACGTAGCCTGTGTGCGTGTGTGGGATGTGCCAGGGGATGTTGCTTGTTCCTTAGGTAGGCAGATAAGGGGGGTTCGCAGGCTGCTAAGTGCCAAAGGAAGCCCCCCTGGCTGTGGGAAGAGGCTGCCTGTCTGCCCACAGGGGCCAATACCAGATGCCCCAGAGGGAGAGGACACAACAGACAATCCTCACGTGATCCCTCCCCTGTCACCCACCTCCAGACAAACAGAGGCTAGGGCACCATTCCTACACATCCTGGCTAATAGCTATCGATGGACATAACCTCCATGAATCCATCTAGCTCTTTTTGGAACCCTGTTAAAGTTCTAATCTTCACCACATCCTCTGGCGAGGAGTTCCACAGGTTGACTGTGCACTGAGTGAAGAAAAACTCCTTTTGATTTGTTTTAAACCCGCTGCCTAAGCATTTCATTTGGGGGACCCCCTAGTTCTTATATTGTGGGAACATGTCAATACGTTTTCCTTATTCACTTTTTCCACACCACTCATGATTTTATAGACCTCTCTCCTATCCCTCCTTTTCTAACCTGAAAAGTCCCAGTCTTTTTACTCCCTCTTCCTACGGCAGCCGTTCCAGCCCCCTCCTCCTTTTTGTTTCCCTAAGCATTTCATTTGGGGGACCCCCTAGTTCTTATATTGTGGGAACATGTCAATACGTTTTCCTTATTCACTTTTTCCACACCACTCATGATTTTATAGACCTCTCTCCTATCCCTCCTTTTCTAACCTGAAAAGTCCCAGTCTTTTTACTCCCTCTTCCTACGGCAGCCGTTCCAGCCCCCTCCTCCTTTTTGTTTCCCTTTTCGGAACCTTTTCCAATGTACACGTTGGCTACGTCTACACTGGCATGATTTTCCGGAAATGCTTTTAACAGAAAAGTTTTCCGTTAAAAGCATTTTCGGAAAAATCGCGTCTAGGTTGGCAGGATGCTTTTCCGCAAAAGCACTTTTTGTGGAAAAGCATCTGTGGCCAATCTAGACGCGCTTTTGTGCAAAAAAGCCCCGATCGCCATTTTCGCCATCGGGGCTTTTTTGCGAAAACAAATCTGAGCTGTCTACACTGGCCCTTTTGCGCAGAAGTCTTTTGGAAAAAGACTTTTGCCCGAACGGGAGCAGCATAATATTTCCGGAAAAGCACTGATGATTTTACAGGAGATCGTCAGTGCTTTTCCGGAAATTCTGCAAAATCATTTGATTTTGCGGAAAAACTTGCCAGTCTAGACACAGCCGTTAAGTATTGCGGGGTTTTCTTCTAGCCACTTCTGCCTCGGTGCTGCCAATTCCCTGCAGTTCTGCTCAGCGCCCCTTCCTGCACTCTCATGGGGTGACGTGCCGCAGCCCTACCGCCCGGCAGCCCTGAGGAGAGCTTGGGGCCACACTGGGCCTTGGAAATAAAATGTCTTTCGGGGACCAGGCTGTGGCGAAACAAAGCTGCTTCCAGCCGGGACCTAGTGCCAGAGTTGAGCGGCCGGGCACGACCCCGTTCTAGTCTGTGCCCCTGTCCGAAGGCAGCACCGTGGTTGTAAGCCTCCTCGGCTATAACCCCGGGTTCCTTTTTTTGGCCTCCAGGATGGCACCTTGGAGCTGATCTTTGCAGCCTACGCGACCACGGCCAGCGCCAGCACCTCTCTGGTCATGCAGCTGCTGAAGCATCCCGGCGTGCTGGAGAAGCTCCGGGAAGAGCTCCGCAGCCAAGGAATCTTGCACAACGGCTGCCTCACCAGCAGCAGCCTCCACTACCTGGACTGCGTGATCAAGGAAGTGCTCCGGCTCTTCACCCCCATCTCCGGCGGGTACCGGACGGTGCTGCAGACCTTCGAGCTGGACGTGAGTGCGACGGCCCGGGGGCGCTGGCGTTTCCCTTGCGCCTTCTCCCCCGATAGGGGTGGCGGGTGCTTTGTAGGGACGCCCGGCGGGGTCTCTGCCTCGCCTGCTGGAACAGAGCCACCACTGGGGTGGACGCTGGCAGCTTATCATCAGGCAGGCCAATGGGACACAAGGGTAGGACAGGCCACTGGCTGGGTACTGACTCAGACTGTAGGAGACCTCTGGGATGTGTTGTGAGCAAGACACCTCTGGGATGTGTTGTGAGCAAGACACGAGAAGTCATTCTTCCGCTCTCCTCTGCGCTGGTTAGGCCTCAGTTGGAGTGTTGTGTCCAGTTCTGGGCACCGCATTTCAGGAAAGATGTGGAGAAATTGGAGAGAGTCCAGAGAAGAGCAACAAGAATGATGAAAGGTCTAGAGAACAGGAGCTATGAAGGAAGGCTGAAAGAATTGGGTTTGTTTAGTTTAGAAAAGAGAAGATTGAGGGGGGACATGATAGTCGTTTTCAAGTATCTAAAAGGGTGTCTTAAGGAGGAGGGAGAAAAAATTTTCATCTTGGCCTCTGAGGATAGGACAAGAAGCAATGGGCTTAAACTGCAGCAAGGGAGGTTTAGGTTGGACGTTAGGAAAATCTTCCCTGTCAGAGTGGTTAAACCCTGGAATAAATTGCCCAGGGAGGTTGTGGAATCCCCATCTCTGGAGATATTGAAGAGCAGGTTGGATAAATGTCTATCAGGGATGGTCTAGACAGTATTTGGTCCTGCCATGAGGGCAGGGGACTGGACTCGATGACCTCTCGAGGTCCCTTCCAGTCCTAGTATTTTATGATTCTATGATTATCAGAGTCCAGTCCCTGCTGCCGCAGGTCACCAGTCTTACCATCCTGATCCTACGCTTTGCCAGCGCCATCATAAAACCAGTTCAGTCCATCCCCCCGCCCTTCTGGTGAGGCCGTACTGGACCAATCTCCTCTGGTGGTTAGAAACCACCATTACATTCCCAGCCTCAGTTTATTCCTGGCTGGTCGATGCTCAGTTGCTCTTGTGGCCCCCTTGTGCTTTATTTGAAATCGCTCCTCGCTCTCCCTGGTGCTTACCCTGCCGACGTCCTTCGAGCTATCAGAGCCCCCTCCTGGCCTTCGTTTTTCTAGGCTGAATAAGCCCAGCTCTGATTGTTTCCTCCTCTTTCCCCCGATCGTCCGTCCCTGCACCTGTTCCAGTTCAAATGCTTCTTTCTTGAAGATGGGTGGCCAGACTCGTCCATCATATTTTCGTTGGTGTTTTATCAGGGCCTTGTGTGGCAGCTTAAATACCTGGTTGGATACATCCTAGGCTCACATTTGGTGGCTGGGGTTTTGTTTACAGCTGCACCACACGGGCGGTTCCTAGTTGTCTTGCGGTCGATGAATACACCCTGGTCTTTCTCCTCGTCTGTCATTTCCAACGGATGAACCTGTTACAGTGGAAATTCTTGTTATTGAGGGTCACTTTCTGCTGACTCACCTTTGCTAATGGCTTGCATCCCTTTGGCTTTTCCCCTTCAGAGGTGTCTTCTCCAGTGACGGCTCTGGCTCCCATCTTGCCCATCCTACGCAGGGCATTTGTGTTTGAAAACCACCATCATGTCTCTCTGTCTTCTCTTTTCTAAACTAAACAAACCCAATTCCTTTAGCCTTCCCTCATAGCTCATGTTCTCTAGACCTTTCATCATTCTTGTTGCTCTTCTCTGGACCCTCTCCAATTTCTCCACATCTTCCCTGAAATGTGGTGCCCAGAACTGGACACAATACTCCAACGGAGGCCTAATCAGCGCAGAGTAGAGCGGAAGAATGACTTCTCGTGGCTTGCGCACAACACTCCTGTTCATGCCTCCCAGAACCATGTTCTGTTAATGATTGGGGGCCCTCACTACGTCCCCACGTCCCCTTCCAACGCAGCGGCTTCACTCAGCTCACGTGGTCTCATTTGGTGTATGGCCATGTTCCCGTTGACACCTTTTTGTTTCTCTCTCCCCTTGCCTCCTCTCTAGGGCTTTCAAATTCCCAAAGGCTGGAGCGTCATGTACAGCATCCGGGACACGCACGACACCGCGCCCGTGTTCAAGGACGTGGACGTCTTTGACCCCGATCGCTTTGGGCAAGACCGCACCGAAGACAAAGACGGCAGGTTCCACTACCTCCCCTTTGGCGGGGGTGTACGGACCTGTCTCGGCAAACACCTGGCCAAGCTTTTCCTGAAGGCGCTCGCCATCGAGCTGGCCAGCACGAGCCGGTTCGAGCTAGCCACCAGGACTTTCCCGAGAATCACGCTGGTCCCGGTGGTCCACCCCGTCGATGGACTCAAGGTCAAATTCTTTGGACTGGATTCCAACCAGAACGAGATCCTGACAGAGACAGAAACCATGCTGGGGGCGACGGTGTAAGCTGACTTTTCCTTCGCCGGGGGAGGGCCAATGGGGGTGGGAAAAGGGACGGAATGACAGGAGGAAACAGGAGAAGAGGTGTCTCCACCACAGTAACCTCGCAGAACCTCCCGTTCGAGACTTTCTCCCACAGCCAAGCTGCCAAAACCATTGTTATTCCTGTGGGGAAAGTACCAGGGGATTCGCAGGTTTGGTTTTGTCTTCAAAAGGAGGAATTTCAAACACTAGGAGAGCTGGGACGGCTTGACCATACACAGTATATAAATATTCTGTATCTAGGTAAAGCGTTCTGCTGCAGGAAAGGTGGCAGAGGATGCCTGTTCTAGGAAAAGCATTTGAAATTCGCTCGCCATCAGAGGTCTCGCTGCCCCATGCACCTCCGCGGAACCCGGCCAGGAGGGGATAGCAAGATCTGACGGCAGGCAGCTACCTCTGGTGGCCTTTGCTCTTTTGGAACAGTGTTACGTTAGTTGGTGATAAGTGTTTGGGGTTGTTTGCTTTCTTTGGAGAGAACGATGAACCGGTTTTTCCCCTCCCTCCCCCTCGCGATCCCTAAACCCTTCTAAGCGCTTTGCAATTCTGAGGCGTCTCTCGACAGCATCTGGGGAAGAGAACGCCATGTTCCGGTGACCGCGGCCCCTGCCCGTCAATGCTGGGACGTGCATTCTGGGGAACCGCACGCACGCGAAACCTGGCACCAGTTTGGCTTCCGGCGCGACCGCTGGGGCCGCTGCAAGGACCACTGGGCTGCTAACGGCGGCGAGGCCGGCCGGATGTGGCGTTCTGTTCTGCCTGTGCTTAACAAAGCCATTCGATCTGTACCGGGGGACAAGGAATGGTCATGTTCTGCCCTCTGATGGGAGTTTCTCCTGCGCTCCAGTGCGGGCTGATCTCACTTCAGAGGGCAGGACTGGAGTCTCCGACGCGGACATTTTTGAAATTGCCTGCTGCTGCTACATGGCATGTGCTTAACTGTTCTTTCCCTCACCCCGTCTGGTCCCTCCCAATCCCAGAGTTTCGCAGTGAGCTGTGTTATTTTTGCCTTCTCTCCGGATCCCTCGGTGTGTGCACTGAACTCTGAACCACATGGATTTCATAAACTGTCCTGGGGTGCTGCTAAGGAACGTGGTTCTGGTCAGGCAGATCTTTTCACGCCACAGCTGCGGAACTCGTGGCCAGCCACACCCACAGCTGCCACGGTCCCCTGTCCCCCGAGGGACCATTAAAGAGTTGGTGGTGAGAAGAAGGCTTCTTCTGAGCTAACCTTTCCCCCTGCCATAAGAAGCTCTTCTGGGAGTGTTTGTCACGGCACGTGACCTGTCAGGGATGCAACCCCTTATGACAGTCGCCAGGATCCGTGCATGCCGCCCGAACTTGAAGCAGGAGTGTTCCTCCGAAATGGGGTTGCCAGAGTAGTTGCCTGGCAACTACTCTGAAATCAAGCGAGGCCTGTAGAGAAGTGTTTGGATCCTCAGCATTCAGGCATGTCTGGATCTAGCGTTTTGGTGCAGGTCCATCTTGAATTTAAAAAAGCTCCTGGTCTGAATGTTTAGTTTCCAGAGATGCTGAGCACACCCTGTTCCTGCTTCAGCTTCTGCCCTCAGTCATCAGCAGCCTCTCCTGCGTGCCTAGTGGCGGGGCGTGTGTTTGGCAGCTGGCAAACTACATTTACCGCAGCTGCTTTGCAGCAGCCATGGTCAATGACTGGCAGTCTCAGGGAAGAGAAATCTCTCGCAATTGTCCAAGTCAGGCACGCTGTCCATCTGAGCTGCAAGCACTGACTTCTTACAGACCTGGCAGTACACTCACCCTAGTCTCGGGTAGATTTGCTGTAACAGGGGCATCTCAAACCGTGCGTCAGGCAGAAAAGGAGAGACACAAGCGCCAGACAGAACTACCCACTCGACTTGAGTGGCAATGAGACGGTTGTGGGTGGACCGCTTGTTTCTGCCTGTCTTTGTCAGGATAAAACTGAGGAGCTGAAATCTGATGGTTGGCAGGCGTAGCTTTTGAAACAGGGATGAATCGGTGGAAGGCTCCGAGGCAGTGCTGAGCTGAAAGATGCTGAAGGTTTTAGCTAGTCATTCACCCGTCCAGGATCAATAGACTTTGGCGGTTGCTTAGAAGGGGAGGCACTAAAGATGTAATTATCCCTTTAACCGTGCTGCCAGAAATCCTGTTAGAAGTTCATGGACGGAAAAACGTATGCACGTAAGCTTCTGGGAGTGTGTGTGATGGGGGTTAACGTGGTTGTTTCTGAGGCTTGCTGCTCTATAATCTCTCTGTGGCTATGTCACAGAAGGTTTTGATTTTAACAGGGATTGGTCTGAACTGAGACTCTGTATCTTCTGAACACCGAAGTTCAGATCCAGGTTGGGATGTGGCAGCTGGCCCGTAATCTCTACGGTTGTCGGAACCATAACGCAGATCGAAATCCTCCCTAGCGAAGGGTGAATCAGGCCCGCACCCCACACTCAGAAAGGTTGTGATCCAAATGTGGGTCTTCACCCTCCTCGGGTCTCTCTTTCCATGGAAACTTCACAAGCTCAGGCTTTCTTGTGAAATGGCTGGCGTTCCCTGTCCCAGGTAGAAAGGTATCTATCAATGGATCTCCACATATTTCTCAATGGGCTCAAGTTGCAGTGGGGGAGGTCTAGGTTGGATATTAGGAAAAACGATTTTCCGAGGGGGAAAGCACTGGGATGCGTTGCCTAGGGGGAGGGTGGAATCTCCAGTCCTGGTGGTTTTTTAGGCCTGGGTCTGCTTTGAGCGGGAGATTGGACTAGGGGACCTCTGGATCAGCCCTAATTGATGATTTCGTGGTGATCCACAGAATTAAACATTTTGAGAATCGTGGAGAAGAGAGCATGGGGAATGGAGGTGGTCCATAGGATAAAAATTAGCTCGAGAACCACTGTCTTTGTATGTCATACCCAGTTTTCAGGCTTTGATAAATTCTGTTTTCAAGCTGTCTGTAAAAGCCACTTACAACCCCACAATCATTCTGAAAACATGAGTTGGTGGGGACACAGAGGACAAGGGAAGGAGAAGAGGACAACTGAAAAAAGTAGTGTGTGTTGGGGGGCAGGGGGAGTTTTTCCATTGACTTCAACTGACTTCAGATCAAATCCCATCAAATAACCATTAGCAAAATGTTTTCTGAGATATGTTTAGAAGGGCATTGTACTCACAGAAGATCAGTAAAGGGATTCATTAAAAAAAATTCATTACAAAATAAAAACCAAACCAGACAGAGATAAATGTAAGATGCATACATCTATCTATTTTATATATATATATCTATATATATATATATTTGTGTGTGTGTATGTGTTTCTTATCTAAACATAAATAGATCATGCTTTTGATTTACCATTCCTAACTAATATAACTTGACTAAAAAAAGTTGCTGCAGTGGATTTGCAGAATAAAGCACTTTGAATCTCAGAATTTTTTTTTCCTAGCACAGTCCAATTCGCTATATTATTATTTTATACACAAATTTTTTTGGTCTGTCTTTATAAACTATTATAAGTACTATTTTTGTTATAATTCAAAATAGATATTTAGTATAAAAGTTTTGCTGTTAAATATTTGTTATTTAGTAAAATATGAATTTTTTTCTCTTTATTGTAAACTTTGTCTGGAAAAAATATTAATATGTTTTATCGCAGTTGTTTTTAATCTTTAAAAAAAGCACTTGGGGGGTATTTTTGGTTATGAAATTGGTGCCGTGTGAACATGTGTTTCAGTCATGTGGTTTTTTAATGTGTATATAATATTATGTGTCACATATTAAAATGGATGTTGTGTATTTTGTGATCTTAAAAAAATAATCGATGTGGATATTTTATAGACTTCCATAATAAAAGAGTTGAATCTCCAGACATTCTCTGCTTATTGCAGGACTGCTAGACCCCTCTTTAGGAAGTTATTAAAATGACTGATAGTCATTCTGGGACTTAACCCTGCTCCCAAAATTTAGGATTTTCATTGTCCCAAAACTGCATACTAGTTTTTTTTTTTAAACATCTGTGATACATCTGGAACTGACTGCTGTTGGATATCAAACTAGATGCTTATGAGTCCAATCTAGTCTGTCAGTTCAAGTCACACGTTACTGCCCAGTGAAGCATTTTCTGGTACCAAGGGCAGTGTTATTTTGAAATAACTCACGTGAGTTCCAAATAGCAAGGCGAGCGTCTGGGCAGCAAGCCCGCTATTTCAAAATTATTTTGAAGTAACAGGCTTCTTATTCTGGAATGATGCACTCTCTTTTCACGAGGAATAATGCCTATTTTGAAATTGCTATTTCGAAGTAGCTGTAGGGCGGACACTGCTGTTTCGAACTAGTTCCTTCCCCCGGACCATTCAAAGTAATTACTCCCTAGTGTTTCCTGGGGCTCTAAATCGAGCATCCACATTTGGGGAGCCTGCTCGGACTAATTTCGAGGCTTCCCTGTAGTGTGGACGTGCTACTTCGAAATCGTTATTTCGGGAGTTATTATTCTGAAATAACTTATTTTGAAATACTAACTTCCAAAATAACAATTTCAAAATAGCATGTCCATACTACACAAGGCAGGCTTTCTTAATGTGGACATGCTATCTGGACTTAGAGCCTCAGGAAACACTGGGGAGTAATTACTTTGAATGACTCTGAGGAGTAGTTATTTCAAAATAGCAGCTGTGGAGCAGCCATACTATCGCTATTTGAACTATCTATTCAAAATTAGCATTATTCCTCATGAAAAGCAGGAGTTATTCTTTTAAAAATAACCAGCCTGTTGTTTTGAAACAATGGGCACAGAAGTGTGGAGACTCTCCACTTGTTGTTTTGAAATAAGGCTAGATATTTTGAAATGACTCCCTAGTGTAGACCAGGGGTAAGGTGACACAGGACTCCTCATTGTTTCTTCTGTACAAATTAGTCTTTTGATAGAAAATTTCATTGTGCCTAGAGAATGGATATGGCAATAGTTGGTCCCAAAGGGCCAGGAAACCTTTTGGGTATAAGATCAAGGGGACAGTGTGTAGAGGTGGCTTGGTTCCACCTCTATATGGAATGAGATAGATCTCTCCATGGAGGGTCCAATCTCCATAGATGGAATTCTGGGACATGATGCGAGCCATTATCATTAGTGTGATTTCTTGTTATAGCTTTACTGTTATAGGTCAGGGAACTATGATGTTTTTTAAAAAGATGCTTGAGATGACACTGTATATAATCATTTACAAAATGAAGGTTAACGCTAAAGCGCGACAGCGGTACAGCTGCAGGAGAGTTGTACGCGTAAATATAGGCTAAGTTTCAGTCGGTTACCCAGAGGGACTGCTGCTAGAGAGGAAAAGCCAATTCAGTCTCCACCGGCCCCACCTTTGACATCTCTGCTGCATTTTCATAGCTTATAAAGCCGGAAATGGCTACTTGATCACCTAATCTGACCTGCATAACACAGGGCATGCAATTTCCCTGCACGAATTCCTGATTGAACTGGAGCAGAGTTTCTAGAAATACATCCGATCTTGATTTTAAAAATTGCCAGTGCTGGGGATCCTCCACGACCTTTTATAAATCCTTCCAATGGTTAACCCTCCCTATTACTACTCACGAATCCCATTGAGACTCCCAAGGGTTGCCTTTGCCCTGTTAGCACGCTGGCCTAGCCGGAGCTCAGAGTCACACGATCAGAGCCCTGCAAATCTGCGGATATCGCTGTATATCTGCAGGTCTCTGCGTCCGTGGGTGTCAGTGCCGATATCCATGGCTCATTTCTTGGGGATCCTCCACGACCTTTTATAAATCCTTCCAATGGTTAACCCTCCCTATTACTACTCACGAATCCCATTGAGACTCCCAAGGGTTGCCTTTGCCCTGTTAGCACGCTGGCCTAGCCGGAGCTCAGAGTCACACGATCAGAGCCCTGCAAATCTGCGGATATCGCTTTATATCCGCAGGTCTCTGCGTCTGCAGGTGTCAGTGCCGATATCCACGGCTCCTTTACGCAGCTAGAGGTGCAGATACCGTTTGGATCCCTGCAGGGCTCTACACTTGCTTTCCCACCGTGATCCCCAAGGGCTTTTTCTGCCACTATTTCTCCGGCTAGAATACGCCACCCTAAGCATGGACGACTGCCTTTGGTCCTGCATTTACTACCTTACGTTCTAAATAATGAAATACAGTCGACTTGCTTTCGACAGGCAGGCTCCCTTGCCCGCTGAAGTGACTTCAACGTCTTTCATAATGGCCAGAAATTTTAGAACTTGTCCTGGCACTTGACTCTTCCACCTCCTGCAAGTGACAGACTCTCCCCCACTAGGCTGTCTGCCCTGCCCCCTCTTCCTGC